CAAAATGTTTTTTTTTTGGTGGGAAATCCACTCTAGACGCGTGTTGTTTCTAAATGTGTAGTAAAAAAACCCGGAGGACCTGGAGAAAAATCCACGCGACCACGGGGAGAGAGACACGCAAACTCCAAATATACAGCAGCAGCAGGCATCAGGGTCGGGATCGAACCGACGACCTCCTGTATACCAGGCGAGGTAGTTAACATCTCCTAGCCACCGTGAGGTTGATGAGAGAGAGAGACACGCAAACTCCAAATATACAGCAGCATGTGTCAAGGGTCGGGATCGAACCCACGCCCTCCTGTATACCAGGCGAGCTAGTTAACATCTCATAGCCACTGTGATGCCGAAGAGAAAGAGACGCAAACTCCACATATAAAACATGCGTCGGTGTCGGGATCGAACCCACGACCTCATGTACACCAGGCGAGATAGTTAACATCTCATAGCCACCGCGGCGCTCACTAATTCGAGTACTGTGACGTTTCACGGGTGATTACAACAACAACAATCACCAGCAGCAGCATCACCGGACGATCAGCCCGAAATCGCGAACAATTCCTCTTATTTCGGTCTTCAATACAGAGGGTTGAGGGGGTGGGGGGAGGTTTACAAAATGATGACGCCATCATCTTCTTTGGCTCTTTCGGTAAAGTCAAAGAAGACGAATCCTTGCAGTCACGAAAGCTTTAAATCGAGATGACGCCATCTCACTCCAGCGCTGTCCTACCAGACAGTCTCGTCCCTTCACCTGATGAAGGCCGCTTGTGTTGTGGCCGAAACGTCGTGAGAATATTATTGTGTTATGTTATTTTATTTGATCAATTTATTATTTTATTCTCATTCTACGTGACTTTACCGAAAGAACCAAAGAAGATGACGCCATCACTTTGAGATCCCCATCCCAAACATTGGAAGGGCACCTGCCCCACTCCCCCCGGTGGAAGCTGTCACCCCGTGCAGCCCAAGGTTGTCTCGGCCCCGAGTTCCAATCGGAATGATTAAATCGTAAAGCCCCCCCCCGCCCGCCCGCCGCACCACCACCCCCCCCCCCCCAAATGGGGGTTTTCGTGAGTGGCTGTCCAGTGGCTCCGCGCTCACCGCCGCGTCGCGCATGAATAATGCAATCTGCGTCTGCTAATTAATGCGGCAGGTAATGTTGCCCGTGGCTGCTGAAGTGCACTCCTCCGTGCAACGCGCGCGAGTGTGGACACACCACACCGCACGTGCGCGCGACAACAACGACACAAAGGCCAAGATCCCCTCCACCTCCCCCGTATATGTAGCCTTGCAACAGACTGTTGGGACACGTGCTGTTGGCGAGCAGCACTTGTGAAAGTTGGCACGGTACACAACACGAGGTGGGGGGTGGGGGGGTGATCATGTTTACAACCACAGCACCAGGTACTCGCTTGAGGCTGAGTCGACCTAGGCGAGAGCCAGGACCGCCGGTTCAGATCATCGTCACCGGTGTTGGTGGCCGTGAGCGGGATCTCTAACTCGGGTCAACCAGCTTCATAGCGCAGGGCGCTGACCACTGCGCCACCGCTCCCCACCCACAAACAAACATAGATCCCCCGTATAGCCTTGACAGACTGTAGGGGCAAGTGCTGTTAGCGAGCACCTATGAAGGCCGGAACGGTACACGAGGGGGTGGGTGGCCAGCACCACGCCCGACCGCCTTTGTCTCCCCAGTGGCGAGGTTTACACACCGCACCAAGTACTCATTTGAGGCTGAGTCGACCTAGGGGATAGCCGCGACACACGCACACACGGGCTAAGTGCTGCTGTTGAACGACGGCGTAAGAACCACTGCTGGACGCCTCCGTCTCCTTCCGGCCCGCGCTACTGTTTACACAACGCATCAAGGTGCTCAGTTTAGGCCGAGTCGACCCAAAGGGAGCCCAGCGCAGTGCACGCCCTGCACTTTGAACACCGTGGACATTGCACCCCCCTGTAACGTACGCCCTGCACATTACGCACCCCGCACAATGGCACACCCTTCACCGTACACCCTGCACAACGCACACACCCTGCACAACGCACACACCCTACACACCCTGCACTCTGCACTTGCACACCCTACACACCCTGCACACCCTACACACCCATCCCGTACCGCCGGAATCATCTGCACTCCCCGCACAATCGGCGGGAGGCTGCGGGGATGAATGACTCCTGCAAGCGTGGCGTCGGGGTTCGTCGTAGGGGTTTTGGGCCATACTTCACCACGCTGGTCTCGACGCGTTCGTGAAGCGGATTTATTGGAGGTGGGGGGGTGAGGAGCTGGGGCGTTCACTCGCCACTGACGTTAGCCGTGGCCCGGAATCGAACTCTCGCGGCGGGTTTATCACATCGCATGTTGTGTAAGCAGTACAGTCCTCGAGCAATATACAACAAGGCAAAGTCCCCCGTATAGCCTTGACAGACTGTTGGGGCAAGTGCTGTTAGCGAGCGCCTTTGAAGGCCGCCACGGTACACGAGGTGGTGGGTGGCCAGCACCACGCCCGGCCGCCTTTGTCTCCCCAAGCGGCGATGTTTTTTATACATTGCACCAGGTGCTCAATTGAGGCCGAGTCGACCTAGGGGAGGAGGCACAGGACCGGTGCAAATAATCGTCTCCAATGTTGGCCGTGAGTCGGAATCGAACTCGTGGTCGCTGCTCACGGCGACACAAAGGTTCCCCGGGAAGGGTTACAGGAGCACGGGGCAAGTGCGGTTTGCGAGCTCCTCTTAGGGCAGCGCTCTTCATTGCAAGGCCCGCGAGCCTGGTGGCCTTTAGTGCGGCCTCTGACGTGCGGTCCCCCCCCCCCCCACGACACAATACACAACGATTGACACCCCCCCCCCCCCCATCATCATCATCGTGCTGCTGTAAAACCCAACAATGGTTTCAAAATGTTGTGTCGGCACTCGCACTCACGATGTCTTCTCGGCGAAAGTGGCCCTCCTCCTCCTAACTACCCACCCCACCCAACACCCCACCCCCCCCGCTCTAAAAATGAGTGAAGAAACACCGCCACCTTAAGACGTTTCGCTCTGTAGCGCTCGACGCAGCTTTACACACCGAGTGGACCTATGGGGGGTTGGAGCGGCGCAGGTCGCCGGCCTTAATAGGCGCTCGCTGGCACCACTCTTGTGACCGCGGTCAAAACAGCACGCACCACACACACACCACACATACACACACACACCACACACACACCACACACACACACACCACACACACACCACACACACACACACCACATACACAACACACCACACACACCACACACACACCACACAGCACACCACACACACCACACACACAACTAACAAACACACCACACACACACTACACACCACACACACCACACACACCACACACACCACACACACACCACACACAACTAACAAACACACCACACACAGCACACAGACACACCACACACACCACACACACATCGCACACACACACCACACACACACCACACACACACCACACACACACACCACGCACAACACACACCACACACACCACACACACACAACACACACACCACACACACACCACACACACACCACACACAACGAACAAACACACCACACAGCACACAAACACACCAAACACACCACACACAGCACACAGACACACCACACACACCACACACACATCGCACACACACACCACACACACACCACACACACACCACACACACACACCACGCACAACACACACCACACACACCACACACACACAACACACACACCACACACACACCACACACACACCACACACAACGAACAAACACACCACACAGCACACAAACACACCACACACACCACACACACACATCGCACACACACCAAACACACCACACACAACACACACCACACACACACAGCACACAGACACACCACACACAGCACACAGACACACACGCAACACACACCATACACACACCACACACAGCACACAGACACACACGCAACACACACGCAACACACACCACACACATCGCACACACACACACACCACACACACACCTCACACACACCACACACACCACACCCAACACACACCACACACACCACACACACCACACCCAATACACACCACACACACGCCACATACACCACACACACACCATACACACACCACACACACACACCACACACACCATACCCAACACACACCACACACACATCACACCACACACACACCACACACACCACACCCAACACACACCACACACACAGAGGGAGAGTAATTAAACCCCAGAGGGATTAATTAAACTGGGGCTGCGAAGCCAACAGGTCGCATTGATTTTGTGGTCGTTTTTAGGGGGGACCGCGCTTCGCGCCAGTGGAGGAAATTCCACATTATGGTGACGGGGTCCGGTAGATCCCCGATGAACGAGCCCTCCTGACTGCTCACAAAGTGGCTATGCCGCTCGTTGTATATGTAGACCGCGGGCAAATGAAGATGATTCTTCGATTTTTTTTACTCACGCAGCTGCTGTTACTGCTACTCGTGTTTTTCGTGTTGCTGTTACAACTGCGATCGTTACTCACACAGCTGCTGTTACTCATTCTGCGATTGTTACTCAAGCAGCAGCTGCTGATAGCAAGACGGACGGCTAATAAATGAACGGCTGAGCGAATGAGTGAGTCCATGCATGAATATCGGGTCACTCTTGCAACTGAGACGTCGCTGGTCTCGTGAGACCTCAGCCTCTCACCCGCGTTAAACAAGCGCAGTTGAGTGAATGAGTGAGTGAATGAGTGAGTGAGTGAATGAGTGAGTGAATGGACGAGTGAGTGAATTGGTAAGCGCGTCGAGTACGGGAATGGATAAATGAGAGCGAACGAATGAGTAAATGAGCGAGTGCATACGAATGAGAGTGAATCCGTGAGCGAGTAGGTGAATGAGTGAATGAGCGAATGCGCGCGCGCGCGCGTTGAACGAGTACGCGAATGAGGTCGCGAATGAACGCGCGGCTATCAATGGTCTCTCTCACCTGATAAACTTGAGGGCAGTCGACTCGTCGCTTTGCTTGCCGTTGTTCGCGCTCGCCATGGCTGACCTCTCTCGTGTGGGCGAGTGAACGAGTCGATTCCTGACTTACGGCACCAATTAAGACTCCACCAAAAACACGGCGGGTGTGTGTGAGCCGCGTGTCTGTGTGCGGGGTGGTCTACGATATCAATACACCCCACGATGTGTATGCATGTAGCCTGTATCTCTGTGTGGTGTGTGGTGTGTGTGCGCCCTATTTAATTCGTAATATACGTCCCGTTGGTGGTGTTTATCGTAGCGACTAATGCAGCAAAGTCTATTTTTGTAACGTGCTCGTCTTCACTTGGTGCCTTTGTGTGTGTGTTGTGCGTGTTGTGTACACGTCGATGTGTCTGTGTGCCTGCACACGCCACGCGTCTGTCTAATAATAGGTGGTCGCTAACAGCATTTGCCCCCGGTGTATGTTCGTGTGCGTCTGTGCAGTTTGTCTTTGTGCGTTCGTGTGTGTCTGCGCGTCTCTCTCTCTGTCTCTCTGTGTGTGTTTGTCTTTGTCCCCGACTCTCTGTCTCGTGTCCCTGTGTGTCTCTTGTCCTTGTGTATCTGTGGGTCTGTGTGTATTTCTCTACGTCTCTGTGTGCCTCTGCATTTATGTATATCTAAGCCTCTCCCCGTATATATATCTCCGAGTCTCTATGATGTGTCTCTGTGTTATCTCTGTCTCCCGTGTAGCTCTGTATGTGTCGTTGCCTCGTGTGTATCTCTGTGTGAATCTCTAAGAGTGTATCTTTGTCTTTGTATCTCTGTGTGTGAATCTCTCTTTGTGTGTGAATCTCTCTGTGTGTGTGTGAATCTACGTGTGTGAATCTGTGAGAATTTGTGTGTGCATATATATCTGCGTGTGTAAATCTGTCTGTGACAATTTACGTGTGATTCTCTGTGTGAATCTCTGTGTGTGTGTGAATCTCTCTTGAAGTCGCTCTGAGCAGTAAGCGTGCGGTCTTCGCTCTGCGCTCTAAACGCGAAGTGGCACGAACGTCTCCCAACCGAGATCCGCACTCACAACTCCACCCCCCCGCCTCCTCCTCCTCTCATCCTCCCAGCACCAGGACCCGCCCTCTCCCCTCCCTCTCTCTTCCCCCTCTCTCTCTCTCTCTTTTCCCCTTCCACTCTTTTCTCCTCCCTCCCTCTCTCTTCCCCCACCCTCTCTCCCCGCACCCTCTCTCTCTCTCTCTTCCCCTCGCTCTCTCTCTTCCCAACCTTCTCTCTCTGTCTCACCCTCTCTCTTCCCCACCCTCTCTCTCTCGTACACTTAGTCCGGCATGGGAAGCACTCGCTCAGGCCGGGTGTTCTCTGCCTGCCGGTGGGCGAGAGTGACCAGGGTCTAGTGGACATCACCGCCAGGGCCATGATCTTCAGGCCGTCAGGCGGCTGCTGTACGGCCGGGAGGAGCTACCCTGGAAGTCTCCGGGCCCTCGCCCTGCTGAAAAATGCAAAGGGGTGCCAGGGGTACGGAAAGGAGCTCTTCCTGATGGACCTGAGCCCTGGTCGACTACACGAGGCTGCCGGGTTATCACCGGAGCCTTTTGGACGCGTGGCGGAGCTTCGAGTGGAGCAGAACGCGCGCGCCCTACGACCTCGCACAGTTCCTGAACGAGGCCCTCGTTCTGCAACGGCCTCTTCCAGGGGATCAGAGGAGAGAGGACCCTGGCTCAACGCCTCACATCAGCAGGGCTGCAGACAGTCTTCCACCTCGTGCAGGACCACCAGCCCAAGTGGAAGGCCGCAGCTGAGATCGCCAACACCGCGGGACCCCGCTCCACGCTCGCTGGGGAGAAGCTGCTGCTGGACGTCGCTCCGTGCCATGAAGGAGCTGCGCCTGAAGCTGGAGGCACTGGGGGATGGTGGCGGTCCCCCCCCCCCCTCCTCCTTCCCAGAGTTGTGCTTCTCCTGCACGCAGCCCCCTGGCCACAGCGACTCCGGCAAGCTACTGAAGCTCCGAGGCTGCAGGAACGTGCCCCTGAAGAGCGCCCCAAACACAGCGCTCTGCACGTGGCTGTGTCAAGGCGCTGCATTCCTGGGACCTGGCCGACCTACCGGACACAAAACGGAGAGACCATTTCTCTCCCCCTCATTGTGGCCGCCCCCCAGTGGAAACAAATGTACAACTCTCCCGTAGCCAAACGCTGCGGTGACCTCCAGTGGCGATTGGCACACTGCACGTTGCCATCGGCCGTGTGGCTCAGTCGAATCTTGCCGGGAGTAACAGACTTGGTGCATTTCCTGCGGTGCCAGGGAGGATCTGTCCCACCAGTACTTACGCTGCCAGCGGCTCAACCCAATGTTCCGCCTTTTGGGGAACATTTTCAGGAAACTGGGGGTACCCTTCTACAACAGCAGCTTCGTATATGGGGTGCCTTACCTGGCAAACAAGGGCCATAACCTCGCCAACTTCGTCTGCACTCAAGCGAAGATGGCGGTGTACAAGACGAGAAAAAAGATGCTGCAAGGTGACAATGACGGCTGCTCTGCGCTTCCAGTGTTCAGGGGCCTGCTCAAGGCGCGGCTCCGGCTGGAGCACGCCACGTACCATACACGTGACGTGCAGCGCGTCTTCTTCTAACGCTGGGAGACTGGATAAACCCTCCGTACCAGCGTGGATGGCATCCTCATGTTCACCTTCTGAAGTGCTCTCTCTCTCTCTTCCTCACCCTCTCTAAAGTCAAAGTATTCCCCTTCCTCTCTCTTCCCCACCCTCTCTCCACGTCTTCTTTGAACGCTGGGGAGCCGGACAAGCCCCTCTCTGTACCAGCGTGGACGGCACCACCCCACGTGTTCACCTTCTGAAGCGCTCGCTCGTCACCGTGGCGTGCGCGATGACCACCACCACCACCACGTGACTTTTCTTTCGTGTTGTGCGCGGTGCATTTAGCGCAACAGCGCGTGGATTTATAGTGATTATTTGTGTTGCTGGTGACTTTGTGTATTTGTGTTGCTGGTGACTTTGTGTATTTGTGTTGCTGGTGACTTTGTGTATTTCATATCGGAATCGCCTCCAGTGCTGTTGCTGCCGGCGGCAATAAAAGTTGTTTAAAAGTCAAGTCTTCCCTTTCCTCTCTCTTCCCCACCCTCTCTCTCTTCCCTGCCCAACATTCCCTCCATATCCACCCCCTCTCCCGCCATCTCTATCTTCCTCTCTCGCCCCCCTAAATCCCGCCTTTCTCTCCATTATTCTCGTCCATATCGCCTCACTGTCTCCCTCTCCCCTCCTTCCCTAACTCTCCCTCCGATCTAAAAACAGCCCCAAATGTTCCTTTGATCTCCTCCTGCCCCCCCCCCACCCGCTCCCCCACGTCTTCCCCTTCTCTGCTGATTATCTCTCCCCCTTACCGCCTCCTTCCCATCTGCCCATCTCCGTCCATTTCCTCTCCCTGCCTCTTTCTTCACTCCCTCCTCATGCTCCCTATCCCCCCCCCCCCCACTCTCCCCACTCTCTCCCCACTCCCCCCACCTCCACACGCACCCCCATTAGTCTGTGTAATCTCTCCCTACTCTTGAGTTTCCACGTACACATTGATCCGAGCGTTTTACAAACACGACGTCATGATTATTATTTTCAAAGTAATTTTCAGAAAGAAATGGAGCAAGTCTTATTTGAAAGGTAACATTTACAAAACACTAATTATGAACGCGGTTAATATTCATTTATGCACGTATAAAAAAAGGAATACATAAATAAGGAGCACTGCGCAGGAAAACTAAACTATGTAAACTATTTTGATTTAAAGCTTTCGTGACTGCAGATTCAAATTCTTGGTTCTTTCGGTAAAGTCACGTAGAAGGGAAACAATAACATAATAAAAATATAAAACAGTAGAATTCTCACGACGTTTCGACTGCAACCCAAGCAATCATCGTCAGGTGTGAAAACCACAGCAAGAAAATTTGAAAAAAGTGCCGGTTTTTTTAACGTTAGCACCACGGAGAGCGATTTGGCAGTTATTCAGATGGACGAGTCCATCTATATTCTTAGTTTTTTCGGTAATCAATTAAGACCTGAAATGGTTTATCAAATGGTTTATCAAATCCTTCCAATGATTGCTAAGCCAGAATCCATCTTCTCGGTTGAAATTGTCTCTGTGTTTGTACAGTGAGGGAAAAAAGTATTTGATCCCCTGCAGATTTTGTACGTTTGCCCACTGACAAAGAAATGATCAGTCTATGATTTTAACGGGAGGTTTATTTGAACAGTGAGAGACAGAAAAACAACAAAAAAATTCCAGAAAAACGCATGTCAAAAATGTTATAAATTGATTTCCATTTCAAAGAGAGAAATAAGTATTTGACCCCTCTGCAAAACATGACTTAGTACTTTGTGGCAAAACCCTTGTTGGCAATCACAGAGGTCAGACGTTTCTTGTAGTTGGCCACCAGGTTTGCACACATCTCAGGAGGGATTTTGTCCCACTCCTCTTTGCAGATCTTCTCCAAGTCATTAAGGTTTCGAGGCTGACGTTTGGCAACTCGAACCTTCAGCTCCCTCCACAGATTTTCTATGGGATTAAGGTCTGGAAACGGGCTAGGCCACTCCAGGACCTTAATGTGCTACTTCTTGAGCCACTCCTTTGCTGCCTTGGCCGTGTGTTTTGGGTCATTGTCATGCTGGGATACCCATCCACGACCCATTTTCAATGCCCTGGCTGAGGGAAGGAGGTTCTCACCCAAGATTTGACGGTACATGGCCCCGTCCATCGTCCCTTTGATGCGGTGAAGTTGTCCTGTCCCCGTAGCAGAAAAACACCCCCAAAGCATAATGTTTCCACCTCCATGTTTGACGGTGGGGATGGTGTTCTTGGGGTCATAGGCAGCATTCCTCCTTCTCCAAACACGGCGAGTTGAGTTGATGCCAAAGAGCTCCATTTTGGTCTCATCTGACCACAACACTTTCACCGAGTTGTCCTCTGAATCATTCAGATGTTCATTGGCAAACTTTAGACGGGCATGTATATGTGCTTTCTTGAGCAGGGGGACGTTGCGGGCGCTGCAGGATTTCAGTCCTTCACGGCGTAGTGTGTTACCAATTGTTTTCTTGGTGACTATGGTCCCAGCTGCCTTGAGATCATTGACAAGGTCCTCCCGTGTAGTTTTGGGCTAATTCCTCACAGTTCTCATGATCATTGCAACTCCACGAGGTGAGATCTTGCATGGAGCCCCAGGCCGAGGGAGATTGACAGTTCTTTGTGTTTCTTCCATTGGCGAATAATCGCACCAACTGTTGTTACCTTCTCACCAAGCTGCTTGGCAATGGTCTTGTAGCCCATTCCAGCCTTGTGTAGGTCTACAATCTTGTCCCTGACATCATTGGAGAGCTCTTTGATCTTGGAATCTGATTGATTGATTGCTTCTGCGGACAGGTGTCTTTTATACAGGTAACAAGCTGAGATTAGGAGCACTGCCTTTAAGAGTGTGCTCCTAATCTCAGCTCGTTAACTGTATAAAAGACATCTGGGAGCCAGAAATCTTTCTGATTGAGAGGGGGTCAAATACTTATTTTTCTCATTAAAATGCAAATCAATTTATAACATTTTTGACGTGCGTTTTTCGGGATTTTCTTGTTGTTATTCTGTCTCTCACTGTTCAAATAAACCTACCTATAAATTATAGACTGATCATTTCTTTGTCAGTGGGCAGACGTACAAAATCAGCAGGGGATCGAATACTTTTTTCCCTGACTGTATATGTGGATAGCCTCATGAACGAATCTCTCATGGTAGCCAGATGGCTTGCAAAGAACCTCTGTCTTGGAGAAGTCAATGTCATGTGAGCCTATTGAATTATAATAGTGATCTGCCACGGCCGAGGTGTTGGTCCTACCGTATTTTAGGTCTGCTTTGTGTTCACGAATGCGGTCCGAGACATGTCGTTTGGTTTCTCCAATGTAACTACTACCACAGAGGCAACTTAGTTTGTAGACGCCAGGGTACTGTATGTCCGGAATCACATCTTTTACAGATGGAACCAGATCACGGATTTTATGTTATGTGTTGAATCGGACCTGGATCTTGTG